AGCCCTATAGTTTAAATCTACTACCCACACATGAACATATGGAAATGGGTTACTATTTTAAAAAATAAATGTATTTATTAATGTATTTAGGAACCTATCCATGTGATTTTTAGTGGGGGTGGACCTCAAATCCTCTAGGGGGGTCCAGGGGCATGCCCCCCCGGTAAGATTTAATTTTTTATTTTGGAGTTAAATGCATCAATCTGGTGCATTTTGAGGGGAAAATAAAGAGACTAAATCTATGGAAACACCTATATTAAACAGAACTGTATACATTTCAATAATCATAAAATCATGGCCATAAACAACAACATACCTTTTCCAATATGAAAAAAACACTGAAACTTGTTAATTTATTTTTGGTTCATTTATAGTTGTGAGTGTGTCTGTGCTCCTGAATCAGCCTCTCCTGTCTCCCTCCTCTGCCCCCTGCTCCTCTTTGAGGCAGCAGCAAAGACTAGTTTTCTCTCAACAAGTTTTAAAAGTGTATCTTACCTTTTTTCACCTAGTTAACTTTTTATTTATTTATTCATGCATATTTTACTAATCACATTACATTTCATTTAGCTGACGCTTTTATCCAAAGCGACTTATAATGACCGATTACAGGGACATTCTCCCTGGAGTAACTAAGGGCTAAGTGCCTTACTCAAGGGCACACTAGTGGTGGTGTTCCTGGCGGGATTTGAACTCACAGCCTTCCGATCTTCAGCCCACCTCACTATCCATTAGACCAATCACTACCCTCTCAAATGGAAATATGTGTTTACATAAATGGTGACCACACCATTTGAGACCCACTGAGAACTTAGACTAAGTTAACTATCTAAACACTCAGAGAGTCCTTTACCTCACCTGAGCTGAGGTTCTCCCGAGCTTGAATGACACACACAGACCAATCAAGGGCTTTGATTTATGATCTGTATGACAGTGGCCATGTCGGCAGGCCACATCATGTGGACAGCCAGTCACCCTGTGTGAGGCAGGCCACTTAACAGGCCAGAAGGAGGCGAGATCAGAGCAAGGGAGCGAGGGATCATTGTCTACAAGTTAATCGATCGCAGATGGCGTGGACAAATAAAAAATATATATATTTTAAAAAAAATTATAAAAAAAATTAAAAACCTAAATGGGTCGCGAAATATACTTGGGCGGCCGTTAATATACCTGGGCGGCCCGCCCAAGTATAGTCTATGTGTGGGAAACCCTGATATATATAATTCTCTCTATATGGCGCTGAGTAGTCCCAATTCAGCAGCACCAGATTGTGGTGCAGAAAGCAGAGTTGCTGCGAGGCTCCACTAGCAGCCATCACAGTCCCAGTCGTCCCAGCGCGTCACAGTTTCTCCGCTGCGAGATGCTACCCGCCAGAGATGGCAAAAGTACACACGTCCTTTTCTCAAGTAGAAGTACAAATACTCGTGTTTAAAAAGACTGGTAAAAGTAGAAGTACTGACTTTTAGACTAAACTTACTAAAAGTAAAGAAGTATGGGCTTCGAAATGTACGTAAAAAGTACCCATAACTACCAAGAGTAACTGACCTCACTTTATATTAATAGAACAATAATGTCATTGTCAGCTAATGAATGTTTCGATGCTGAACAACGGCAAAATGACAGTTTTCATTTGTCCTTCTTGTTTAGAGAAGACCAGGACATGATGGATACACTGATTGTGTTCAAATCAATAGGCACACCATGACTCTAAATAATAATGATCAAGCCACCAAACACAGATTCAAACTAAAGTAACCAGCCCGTTTTGAAAATGTAAGAAGTAGAAAGTACAGGTATATTGTGTTAAAAATGTAAGAAGTAAAAGTAAAAAGTCGTCAGAAAAACAAGTAGTAGTAAAGTACTGATACCAGAAAAATGTACTTAAGTACAGTAATGAAGTATTTGTACTCTACTACTTACCACCTCTGGTCAGTGCAAGGGCATCATTTGCACCTTACAGCCTGATTATTGCATAACTATTTGTGGGTTTATTGTGACCTTCTGTCTCGGGGCTTCGTTTGATACGGTTAAGGGGTTTGTGCTTTTATCTACATTCTACATTATTTTATGATCTGTACGTTTGCATAGGTTTCCTTCCCCTCTGAATCGTTGGTATTGCAGTAATAACACACAGGGACTCAGACACTTTACTGTTTGAATGTAGGCTTAGTTAATGTCTCTCCTCTGTCCCTGTCAGCAGAGGAATATTAAAGATTAATTCATTTGCATAGGATTTGCATGAAGGCATGTGACACAATGGCTTGCAGACACTACAACGGAAAATAATTTGTAATAATCAATCAGCCTTCAGTGGGAGGACAGCCTATTACAATGTGTGAAGTTAGTCTGACATTAGATCATTAGAAGCTTAGCCACTAGCTATAGCAAGAGGACTTTTAGTGTCCCTGTCTGCCGTGGCTCGTTAATCATTTGTGATACATTTCCCTCTGATGACACATTAACTTCTTTACTTGAATGTAGGTTGGAGGTGATATTGTTAAAGTAAGTGCCAAAGTCAGATTTTAAAGAAAGGAAATGTGTCGATCCCGAGGTGTTTGCGTTACTCTGCGATCACCTTTCAAAGTGACTCGTCCCCTGGGATTGACAGGAGATATTGCAAATATCTGTGTGTGGTATTGGCAAATATGCAAACATGAGGATGAATGTATACACGTATGGCTGTAATTGCAGACTTGGTTGAAACTTGTTTATTTCACAGTAAACATTAACATGTTTTAGAGGAGGGTGAGGATTGTATGTATATGCACAACCAAGAACCGGTCATATGTTTTTCCGTGGGCCTTTGTTCGTCAAACGGGGATTAGATGAACAAGGAAAGAGGTCTATTGTGGTTGGGCAAAGATCCAACATGGGTTAAGTGGTTACATCTTTGTTTGTTGGTTTGAATTCTTAGGTTGAAAGTGATCGATTTCATTCTGCACTGTTTGTACACTCAGCTTATCGCTTATTTTACCTCTTTCAAGGATGTTTTGTTTCTTGGTTTGTTAACAAGCATGGTTACGGAAGAACTAGTGGCCTGACTTCTGAGGTGCTGCATGGGCCTAGGAAGAACCCATGCATTTTGGAGAAGATTTGAATCCATTGACCGGTATTTTTACTTGATCTGAAATCTCTATTGGATGTAAAGTTTTGGCACATAACCAAACACTCTCCCTATTCTCTACCCTATGAAAGACCTGTCTGTTACCCTGCCAGACAATTTGATATTCAGGAGGCTACATTGTTAGAGAGCCTTAAATAACAGCATGGCCTTGGCCGTTGCTGTAAGTACACAACAGATCAATTTCAATTAGGTGTACATTTCAAAGCCAAGGACTTTTGAACTGCCATCCATTTTGATGCTGCTCCATTGTCCAAATGCATTTGAGGTAATGAGGTTGTGGTTGTGAGAGAGGGAGATAATGGCACCAGCACTCATGTTGACTATTATGTTGCAGATTTAGCCAGTCTATTTCTGTTGGCGTAGCTTCACACATGCCCACTTTTACAAATACAACTCAATTAGTTCCTGGTTTGAAAGTCACGGTTTTCCATATCGAGAAATCCATCAAATAACATAAGTATTTGTATAGTAACTTGAACAATTCAATGTGTCCTTTTAAAGTCTGCCTCTTTTTTCATTTTTAAAACACTGCCAGGACTTAAGTTCTTGTTTACAGTGTGTTGAGAGTCCATTAGCCAAACCTTGGATAAATGCCTGGACGAATGCTTAATCTAATATGGAACCTGAGCTAGTAGATGGCAGTTCTGAGGGATTCTTATTAGGGCTGCACAAGATTTTTACCGTGATCGCAATGACAACGTGCGTAACAACCTCTACGCATAAAGATCATGATAGTTAATTCTGTGATTTTTTTCGAGTTCGATAAAAGAGAGATGGGTAGATATTGCTCTTCGAAACATTATTGGTGCCTTTTGTATTCTGTTGTAATGTTAGATATGTTCAGCAAATGAATGTTGTAAACACTTTCAGTTGTTATTTATCTGAAATGTGTTGTAATGTTTTGCTGTCTACTGAAAGCAGTAGAAGGGCTGAACTTGGTACTCTTCAATATCAGTTCATTTATTGGCAATTCATGTTGTTATCACGATATTCAGGTCAAATGAGTTTGTCGGGGTGTGTGAAGTCGTCACAGAGTCTGTGTTTGTGTGTGTTTCTCTGTGTTAGCATTATCATTCTCCTCCCTGTGGATTCTTTCGCCCAGACTCATAAATGTCAGGATGATTGGTGTTGCACTGTAGCTCGACTGTGCACCAAGAGAGAGACAGAGGAGTCCATGCCCGGCCCCCAGCCAATCACTCTGAGGGGGCGGCAGCCAATAAGACAGTTGCAGATAGCCATGTATGTAAATGAGTCTGACGGATTCCAGCTGCTGCTGCCTCCTCTGTGACAGCAGAGCAGACCCCGCACACACACACACACACACACACACATTTGAATACTTTATTTGGTTCCACAAATTATATTACATAAGACAGGGAATCAAATATATCGGGGCTAAGCAGCACAGAACACTTAGGGGAACACATAGCACCTCCTCCACACGGCTAAGCTGCCAATAATAGCTGAAACAGAGCAATATTTGGCAATTTGTTTGGCTTTTCTCTTTGACATTCCAGCAATTCTCAGACCAATCATGGTGCATTTATATACATGGCCAAGACTTCCGAATATAAGTATGCTGTATCTACACTTGTACCCAAAGCTGGTTATCACATCGAGCAGTGGTTGGTATTTGATATACTTGTCCTGGAAAGCCTGGTCCATGTACAGGTCAAAGGCACAGCCTACTTCTAACATTACACACACACACACACACACACACACACACACACACACACACACACACACACACACACACACACACACACACACACACACACACACACACACACAGGATGTCAGCTCTTGTAGTGTGCATAGTGGGATCAGAAGCAGTGTGTGGCCATGCTGTGGCTGACCAACCTCCTGTCCCCCGCAGGGTGAGCTCGGACCGGAGGAAGGAGAAGTCCAGGGATGCAGCGCGGAGCCGGCGTGGGAAGGAGTCGGAGGTTTTCTACGAGCTGGCCCAGGAGCTGCCCCTGCCCCACAGCGTCAGCTCCAGCCTGGACAAGGCCTCCATCATGAGGCTCATCATCAGCTACTTGCGCATGAGGAAACTGCTGAGCACTGGTCAGTAGCTGTTGTTGTTGTCAGGACACAAACTTGGGACACATACGATTTAAAAAAACAAAACAAAAAAGAAGATCATTCTGGACTTCATTGATAATTAAATTCTGTAACCATTGTCATTATTATCATAGAGGCATCCTGACAATTGACTATTTGGATAAAGGTGCCAGATACTACATTAACAAATGTTTTCAACCCACTGGGATAAGCCACAATTAAAACAGTGTCATGGGAGGAAAGAAAAACCCTGAATCAGCTGTTCTTCTCAGAGACACATACGCTCAACATAGATCTGCAGATATACCTGTGGGTAGTGTGTTTTTCTGTGTGTCGCAGTGTCCTGCCTTGCAAACATGTTCTTTTGACAATAAAGGCTTTACATGTGACTTATCTCTTGGTTTTTTTTTTTTTCCCTATCCCTCCCCTCTATGTTATCTCCTCCAGAAGAGCCAATGGCAGAGGAGGAAACAGATCTCGATGCCCAGCTCAACGGCTCCTACCTAAAGGCTTTGGAGGGCTTTCTCATGGTGCTGTCGGAAGATGGAGATATGATCTATCTCACCGAGAATGTCAACAAGTGCCTGGGGCTGGCACAGGTTGGTCCGATTTGACCTGCTGTGTCTCAACAATAAAGAGACCGCAGAGGAAAGAGTATAAGATCAATGGAAAATGGAGTCAGACGCAGAAAATAAAATATGGTTATTGTTAACGTTATGTAAGTTTTTACAGATTCTGTTCAATAAACAGAGAAATACACATTAGGCCTTTAATTGTTAACGTTTGAAAGTTGCCACACTGTACACCATTACTGAATCAGCTGCATGTACCAACATGGACTAACACTCTGCTCTCTCTCTCTCTCTGCAGTTTGACCTGACTGGATACAGTGTGTTTGACTTCATTCATCCCTGTGATCAGGAAGAGCTGCGGGAGATGCTGGTGCACAAAACAGGTGAGACACAAAACAGGAAGAAATACAAATAACTCTCAGCTGGCAAACTCAGACCAGGAGGCTATCGGAACAAGTTATTTTTCCCCACTTCAGTCCAGAGGCCAACGTGATTAGAGTAGAGTAGGCTAGTTTTTGGACTTAAGTGACCCAGCTTCACTCAACATTACTGTAACAGAACACTACATCTCTGAAACAATTCCTTTTTTGCTCACACAACACACATTTACATTGTTTTGTTTCAGTGATTTAGTTTGAGTACGTATTTTTTTCTTTCAGGGAGTTCAATTATGTTTCTTAGCAAAACTTTGATGTGAAACTGATTAGGATAACACCTCCCAGTTCTCCCACTTACGTTTGCTTTATAACAGAATGTGTTATCAGCGCCTGACAGAGACCACATTTGCTTTCCTCCTGTGCCATTAAGCACGCTGATATTATCTCTGCTACAACAGCTGGGTACTTCACTTCCTTTTTTTTTTTACCTGGCTAAGCTTCCCACATTGTTTCACAGCCTAATGTCTCCTGAGAATGCAAATGTGAACTGTTGGCAATTTGAAATAAAAAAACAGCAATTGATTCAGTCAGCATGTTTTCCTGTTTGTGTGATTTCAGGCTCTAAAAAGACCAAGGAACCAAACACAGCACGCAGCTTCTTCCTCCGAATGAAATGCACTCTCACAAGCAGGGGCCGCACTGTGAATGTCAAATCAGCTGCATGGAAGGTAAGGCCCTAGAGGAATCAGTGAGAAAATGCTTTTAGAAATGTTAAAACAAGTGTAGTTATACATATTCATTTGGTTAGAGGAATTCATTCCAATAACACTTTGCTCAGTCTACCATGTGCTAGTATGTTTATCAACACAAGGGATGTGAGTGAAGCTTATCAAACTTCATTCAACCACAGTCTGACTCAAAAGTGGTAAATATTATCTTTCTGATTATTTTATTTAACTTTTATCAATGACTTGAAAGGCTTCCTTCAGGGTTGTAGAGCATATCAAATCACGAGTCTGGATAATGACAGCTATTGTGTTTAAAAGCCACTTCCCACTCGCAGCTTTTAAGATGGAAAGAGAGCAACTAAACACATACTAATATTTTCTTGTTGAAGTATTTAAGAACACATTTTTTAAATCTTGTGGAAGTTGTATTTGAATATTGCCTGTAGGGAAAGAGTTAGAATACTGAAGTTTAAATGCAGAAACTAGAGTAGCAGATGTTTAAATCAGCAGTAATCCAATAACCCTAATGTGCAAAGGAAATTAGAACATTATACTAGTCCTAATACAAATGACACTATTAGTGTCTCTGTTTGACATACACATATAGGAAAGTGCATTCAACCCATATTTTAACTGGTAATTGACCTAATAGAAAAACTGTTGAGTAAGTATAAGAACTTACGACTCAAATGATTAACGACTCCACTTTGAGCGATAGAATTACTAACAAAGCACTTATATACTAATAAAGGACTGGCTTATCTAAAGCCAGTTGAGTAGCACTTGAAATGTTTTTGCTCTATGAAACCTGATGTACTTATGATTCTGTTTTCTTCAAGTTTGTATCTTGTTGGTCAAACGCACTTATTGTAAGTCGCTTTGGATAAAAGCGTCAGCTAAATAAAATGTCATGTAATTAACCCACCATTTAAAAAGACTAATTTTCACTTATTCGCAAAGCCCTAACCACAAATGTATCTCAGAGTACTTCTTAAATGTCTTTCACAATTGCATTTCCCCCTACACAAATTAAAGTACAGAAAAATTGAAAAGGAAAATCAATATGTGTAGGCAAAATACTAAGGCAACATAACTGAGGAGATTTCAAAGCACCCTGTATTTGAATGTATTTATTTATCCAGGAAAACTGTTAATGCTCAATGGGGTCTGGGAATGGTAATAGAAGTGTAAAGACCCTCCTGTTGTCGCCCTCCAGGTGCTCCACTGCGCCGGTCATGTCCGTGTGTATGACGGCTGCACTGAGGAGACTCCCAACGGGCACAAGGAGCCCCCAGTCCCCTACCTGGTTCTGATCTGCGACCCCATCCAACACCCCTCCAACATCGAGGTCCCTCTGGACACCAAGACATTTCTCAGCCGCCACACAATGGACATGAAGTTCACCTATTGTGACGAGAGGTGTGTTGGTCCTGAGTGAATATTGCAAATCTTAACGTAAATTGATTCAGCTGCTTCAACCACCAGTGTACTTTGGGTTTCATTGCCAAAGCTCTCACTAACATGGTCACACAGAGCCCCCTAGTGTTCAGTGGAGATACTGCAGAAGCCGAGTGTGAGTGAGTGGAGGAAATAATCTTTTGTTTGCTTGTCCAGGATCACTGAGCTGATGGGTTATGACCCGGACGACCTGTTGAACCGCTCTGTGTATGAGTACTATCACGCTATGGACTCAGACCATCTTACCAAGACTCACCACAACTGTAAGCATGAACAACATGAGTGCATGAATTCAATCTTGCTCTTAAATCCACAACAAATCTGTTATTTTTGCTAAACCTTCAGCCAAATGTCTGAATCGATCTTTACTCATCCTCCCTTTTCTTTGCTTTTAGTGTTTGCAAAGGGCCAGGTAAGCACAGGCCAGTACCGGATGTTGGCTAAAAGAGGCGGCTTTGTGTGGGTGGAAACACAAGCCACTGTCATCTACAACAACAAGAACTCTCAGCCACAGTGCATCGTCTGCGTCAACTTTGTGCTTAGGTACTATAAAGGCTCTTTGTATTTCAGAAGAGATTGTAATGAAGTCAGGTTGTTGTGTTTAGTTTTAGGTGAAGTGAAATAGCTGGTTTGTACAAAAAAGACATACATACTATTTCTTTCTGTATATTTTCAGAGCCTTTGCACTCAGTGAACCTAATCCTAACATAACTCTGTTACAGTGGCATCCAGGAGGAGAAACTGGTCTTGTCTCTGGAGCAGATGGAGGATGTGAAGCCAGTGGAGGAGCAGCAGCAGGAGGAGGAGGAAGTGAAGGCTGTGGTGGAGATCAGCGAGTTGGTCATGTCCCCGGCCCTGAAGGAGGTGGAGGAGAAAGGCCCAGAGCTGGATGTGATCAAACTGTTCACTCAGACGGCAGAGGCCCAGCCGTTTGTGAGCCTGTACGACCAGCTGAAGGAGGAGCCGGAGGCCCTCACCCTGCTGGCCCCGGCTGCCGGAGACGCCATCATCTCCCTGGACTTCAGCTGCCCTGGTTCGTGGCCTCATTTACACACACTAACCCCTCGTCCACACCACAAACATATCACACATATTATTCACTCACACGTCTCACGCAGAACATACAGACACATACGCAGGAATACGCGAGGTTGATGCCAAATTAAACAATACTACTTTTATTGAATTTATTGTTATTTATGCTTTTTTTTTGCTGATTATTTATTAATTGTATTAAGTGTGGGGCACTTCATTGGTTCAAAATGCTCCAAGTTTTGTTTGCATCCGTGTTGATGTAAAAACAGATCAGGACTTCCCACACATATAAAAAAAATAGATGGTCGCTTTAGAGTTGCTTGAAGTGACTTTTGCAGTCTAGACTATAGGCACTTTCACACCGGAGTACTTTTCCCAGTATAGTTCCGATAGTTCTTAAAATGTTGCGTTCACACCAAAAAAATCCGGAACTAGAACTTAGTTCATGAGAACCTTTTCACCCCTTTTTTAGTCCCTGCTCTAGAGCAGGGACTTTCCTGGGAGAAAAAGTTTCCCATTTCTATTGGCTGGGCGAATTGCAAACCACGCCCCGTAAAACTCGGGAACGTTTTGTGAAGCCGCCATTGTATTTGCTGGCATTAGCATTATTAGCATTAGCCCAGTGCACCAACGGAGAGAGACTAACTTATGGCAACACAAAATAAAACATGGGAGCGGTGGAGATGAGGAGGTGTCAGCGTTCTGGTGATTTACTCGGAAGGCTTCAGTAGAAGCTGCTGGGACTCCCAGCAGCTTCTACTGAAGCCAGTCCCCAACTCCGGGGACTTTGGGCGGCAGTATACGCCGTGAAGTGGTTTGCGGCCTGCCAGTAAACCCAAAGCAGCAGAAGAAGAAGTGACGTCAGCGGCTTCATTTGCCTAATCCTCCCTCAGGGACTTATTCCGGTGTGAACGCGATCTGTACTTTAGTTCATCAGAACTAAAGAGTTCTGATGGCGCCTTATGAGTTAAACTTCCCCGCAGCAGTTAATAAGGGTTTATACACTGGGTGATCGATTCTAACCTCCCTCTCTCTTCTGATACAGATTCAGAGATCCAGCTGCTGAAGGAGGTCCCTCTCTACAACGATGTAATGCTTCCCTCCACCAGTGACAAGCTGGCTCTGCCTCTCTCCCCTCTGCCGCCGTGCGAGCCCCTCCATGTCAGCACCATCAGCTCTGAGGCTGCCAAAGCTGAGAGCTTTCCGTCCAGCACCTTCACCAGCCTCAGATCAACAGAGGTCAGACACTCAATTATTGTCACACACTTTTTCTCCACTTACTGTTACTATGAACAGCTTGTAATATAAACAAAAAGAGTAGTAGATATAAACTCATTCTGTAAACTTTATATTTTGCAATTGCCATTATATTAACAATTAACATATGATGTTCAAAGCCTTCAATGTGCTTGAATGTTACTGTTTGTAGTTGTATGAACCCTTCACTTACGAATATGTACTGAGAAGTGAATGACCTTTGACTTCTTTTCTCTTTAGGCTGGCAGTCTCATGGACTTTTGTTTCCCCATGGACTCGGAGATGAAATCAGATTCCAAACTAGACTTTGTGGAGAAGCTGTTTGCCATTGATACAGATCCCAAGAACCTCTTCACCACACAGGTAACAATGCCAGGAGATTTCTTTTAAATGAAACACAGTAAAGGTTTCTGCCTTCTGATTCTATCCTCTTTTTTCTCCCATGAAGGCGATGGAAGACTTAGATCTGGAGATGTTGGCTCCCTACATCCCCATGGACGATGACTTCCAGCTGCGCAGCCTGAGCCCAGAGGAGCCTCTCTCCTGTGGACCTGTCAAATCCCTGCAGAGCTCTCCAATCCACATCACACAGGACATCCACAGCTATCCCTTCTCCCCGGTCAGTGCACCAAGCAGCCGCACAGCGTCCCCAGCACTTCTCAGGGCCCCTCAAACGGCCCCCATTATTGCTATGAGGTAAGTCCCCAAAATGCACAACATGTGTTGCTTTGTAATGCTTTTTTGTCTTTGCTAATAATCATTACTGTGCCGCAGGACCCCACAGCTGGACAAAGAAGTCTCGCTCAGGACCCTGGCAGCCCAGAATGCACAGCGCAAAAGAAAAATGGGTGACATAAAAGAGATTATTGGACAGGTAAGGCCCCAACATTCAAATGTCTTTTTCATAGAACCTACTTTATGTGTACAGATGGAGATTTTGAGTGTCTTTTTGTTAATGATTTTCCTAGGGTACTTTGCCCCAGGAACAATTGGAGCAGGGCAAAAAGCTGAAGGCCTCAGAGTCAGGAACAACCAGGACCATACTCCTGCTGCCTTCAGGTGATTCAACCAGATCGGAAATAAATACTTAAGTCTGTTTTTTTTATATACAGACCAAGGGGCAACCTAGGGCTTTTAAACAGCATACAGTGTAAGCACTAAATACTAATAGAATCATAACTCTTTAATATCTCGTTCTTCCTCAGACATGGCGAGCCGTCTGTTGGGCTGCACATCGGAGAACACCAGTTCCCTCTTCAGCCTGCCGCATCTGACCCGCGACGACTGCGAGGTGAACGCCCCGCTGCAGGGCCGCCAGTGCCTGCTGCAGGGAGAGGAGCTGCTGTGCGCTCTGGACCATGTCAATGTCATCTAACGTCAATTGGAGTCTCTGCCCACTGCTGGACACTACAATTTCTCCCTCATGTTGTCACTCCCTCTGCGTGACCCTAAATGTCTCCCCCCTCCCTCTCCTCCCCCCTTAATTTATGTATCTGTATGAGTTTGACTATAGTCCGCTGTTCGTGCACCCATGTGATATCTGCAGCATTCCACCGTGACAAACACCATGGCAGCATCTGGGTTTTGGTGCAAGGGGTTCAGGCATCACAAGATGTCCAAATGTCGTTTTTATTGTTTTTGTCTTTCCTCTCTTCCCGGGGAGTCTCTCAGCACACAACGCCTCGACAGATTACCCTTTTTCCAGCAGGTCACCACAGACCCTGGCACTACTGCCAGCAGTGTATTGTAAGCTTCAGTCGCACAATTTATATTTTCTTAAAAATAAAAATATTACCAGCAATATATATTATGCCTTTTTAAAGTCGTTTTAATGGGATTTGAACCTTTTTATTTTTCCTCCCATACTTGTATGTTGTAGTACTCGTACTTAACAAGATGTCTTTAGTCCAGAAAGTATGAACATATGTTTTAAACCGTAGGTGGTTTGAATGTTATCTCCATTTAATAGCTATCAGTTTTTTAGGTAATTTAATTGTGTAGCAGTCCAGTACATGTCACTTTATTACTTTACTGTAAGTGTGCGTTACTGTACTTTACCAGGGAAAATTGTATTTACTCAGTTGGGCTTCACAGCTTCTTAGTCTCAAGGTGAAATCTGAGAGTAAGCGCCTCACTTTGGTTTTTAATTGCTTTTTTTCTCTAACATGAAGTGAATTCATGTTTTTAGTTTTGACTGTGCGTGACAGACTATTTGACTTGTGTGATCACTATCATGTTAGCAATTGTGAGTTGTCAAACTTGTTGGCTCAGTTTAATACCATTGATCCATGCCATATTATTGGGTCGCTCATGCTTCTTGTTGCCGTTGAATATTAAATGGCTTGTATGGGGTATATTGTTTCAGATTTCCTTTCTTCACAAACACTGTATTTTGGGCTCTGAAAACAATTCATTACATGACTAGTTTAGGCACATTTTCTAGCAGTAGAAAACATATTTATTGTACTCTGGGAAACCGGTGAATAAATACTAGACCGGCCATTAAAGTCTTTAGGTGCTGACAGGTTACGACGATTCAAACTGTTTGATTCTAGAAATGACATCAAATCATTATTTAGTAAACAGCCTTATAGAGAAAGACCGTTTCAGGCAATACATACTTTCATTTGAGGTATCAACAAAATATTTAACAAAAGTCTTCAAATACTAGAGCTCAAAATCAAACATTACAACATGTATTAATCATGTGACCCTCTGAAAGCATCACTCTGTGAACTCTGGACTAATTTGCAGTCGAAGCAACTTCTGTCCTCTCTGCACCACCATGGTGATTTCGTCGCTGCTGCGGACAGCCTTGTAGATCTCCTCTGAGGTGTTCACCTTCACTCCATTAATCTCTAACACCACGTCTCCTGGTAGCATGCCAGCTCTGAAACAAGGGCCACAGTATTATGGGTTGGCAGCAACATATACATGCTAAATTCATTGCCTACTATAGAAAACATGGCAAAGCTCCACCCCCTACCGGGGGTAATCAGCATATGTATAAATCAAAATTCGAAAACGTTCAAGGTTTTTTATAATTCCATGACTTTTTCAGGTGTGGAATATACTTTTCTAGGTTTTCCACACTCACGCTAGAGCAAGAATGGTACGTCATCTACATCCACAGTCTGCTTACCTGTCGGACGGGGAGCCCATGATTACTCTGTGAATCAAGATGCCGTGTGTCACGTCAGGGAAGGATGGGTCTCTCAACTTCAACTCTGCGATGATGCTGGAACAAATGGAAAAACAGAAACATTTCAGTTTGGACCCAGCTCTGCTGTAACTCCTCTACTAGGTTTTTTCTGCAGCCCGTCCTGCTTGTTAAGCGTTTACCTCGGAGTCAGGGTCAGCATCATCACACCAATATACCGCCGCTTCGTCTCTGACTCGCCAGACCAAGTATCTGTAAGAGGATGCACAAAAACAGGAAGTGTAAAAACCTTTTTTTGCTTTCTAAAGAGGAAACGGTTGAATGCTACAGAGAACAATTTGGACAGTTTTGAGATTCTGATTCTTACTCTTCTTTTTTGATGCTTGATCCAGAAAGAGTTGCAGGCGATCAGATGGAATAGCAAAGGAGATTCCGGCTGTGACCTTCATCGTGTTTATACCAATGACTTCACCATCCTAATTACAGCAGAGATAACGTTCAGATTGCATGTTATGGCTACAAAAGTCCAGTTAGGTTAAGAAACGTGTGCAGTGTCATTGAAAGGGATGTTTTTTCAAGTAGGTAGGAAGCAACTTGTATTAATTAAAACTATTAAAAACGTTTTAAAGGTTATACTAATTACACATCATCCCCACACTCAGTTAACATATCCTGTAACAATAAAAAGGTACCCTAATGCAACAGGAAGTGAAATAAAGAGGGTTCTTTCATGTAGCATTTACAACTGTCACAACACTACGTTTAAATCACTAAAAGTCCAATCTAAAGCCACAAACAGAACAGGTTTGGTGACGTTTTAATGTGATGAACATTTAAACTGAATCTGTGACTCACCAAGTTAATCAGGGGACCTCCAGAATTTCCAAACTGCAGAACAGAAAATCAAAGCATGACGTTAATATGAGACATTTCGGAGTCACAGAACTTCCTCTTAACGAGCGTGGGTTTTTCCTGACCCCATTGTTCATAACATTAAGTGTCAGCGTAACATACAGTCAAAGCAATGTGTTTTTGTGTACATTTATATCCTTTTAGTATAATGACAGCAGGAAACTCACATCAATAGCTGCATCAGTCTGGATGTAGTCCATGTTGGAGTTGGACAGACCCAGCTCCTTGCTGCCTCTCTGTACTGAGCTGACGATTCCTGACGTGATTGTATTCCTTAAAGCAAACGGGCTCCCCATGGCAACCACAAACTCTCCTTGTCGAATGTCGGATGAGCGACCGAGGCTGAGCGTTGGTAAAGGATTCTGCATGTAGGGTAGGCGGAGAGATAGCGATTAATAAACACATCCACACTGCTTGTAGGTCAGTCGTACATCAAGGGGATAAAGCTTACTATTTCATCAATTGGCCCGATGTTTCTCCTATCATGCAAGTGTCCTGACCTGCCTTATTATAAATATAACAGTAATTCAATTCAATTCAAAACCTTTATTTATCCAGGTAAAATCCCATTGAGATCAATGATCTCTTTTTCAAGGGAGACCTGCAGCAGTAGGTTCCACAAGAAGACATAAACAACAGAACAACAAAAGGACATCATGCTCAGTAATGCTTTTGAAAGGGTCAAAACATAGTATTGCTATAGTGGTTTTTAAGTAGAGCTTGTAATTCTCAGGCAAAGATGCAGTCTCTCTTCAGAGTTGGTACACCATTGCAGTGGCGAGCCGTCAGGGCCCTCTGTGAGGGCCTAAGATATTCTAAAAAATAATATTTGAAAACATTAAAAAAAAAACATTTTTTTTAAAAATACTATTTTTTATATGTTGTTGTTGTTACATTTTTCATTAATTTTACCAAAATAACTTGATTTAATTGTATTTAAAATAATATTTCCAAAGAAATAAATCCTTCGAATCTGCCTGTTCAGTTTCTGTTGGAATGTGAAGGGTTAAATGCCGTCTCTGCGAGTACTGTGAAGACGGGAGAGCTTGTTGGTCCCGGTTGGTCCCTCTCTACATTCACAGAGGGCCCGCTATACTTAACTCAACGAGAGAGTAATGTCAAATGACAGTACAATTGACCAATCATATCTTCCCTCTAAATGGGCGGGCTTTATTTTCGCGGACTTTATGACAGGATCCGCCCGCTGTGAGGTCTATGCATGGATTTATAATAAGTATGTAGGATGTATAATGGTCTATGCAAGTGGTGCAGTGACGCGTCCTAAAACCCGGAAGTAAGCTACGCTCGGATTCCCTCGACAGAAAGCAACGGGATTTCTCCATAGGATTTTGGAAAATAGCTCGAAATAAGGTCTGTGGAAAACGAACCTGTTAGATAAATGCACGTTGTGTTCAGCCGGATAATATCCACATGTCTATCCTACTTTTATTATTTTTGAATCATAAATCTAAACGATAGATTTATGATCGATAGATTTATGATTAGCATAAGTTCGTTCATGATGGCTCACTTCAGTGATAGTGATGACATCGTTGCGAAATTATTAACCGAGTAGTTACAATGATAAACTGGAGTGGCAAAGGATCAGCTGAATGACCCGCAAGTGCTTCATCCAAAAGGACAGGAGGATGGACTTTGTGTTTCAGTGATTTGATCATCAAAGGTAGGCCTAAGTCATTTTCAATGCGGGCCGCCGTGCCGACTTAATTCATTTGTAATTGTTACTTGGCTGTGGGTGCCCTGTCATGATAGGTGTTTATATAAATGATGTTGTTTTGTGTGGTAGAGGGTCGCTGTCATTGATGCGTTTTGCACCCCGGACCACTGTTTTGATATTCCGCTGAAGTCTACGTTGAGACGTAATATCTCTTCTTTTTTTTCCGAGGGAAGGGGGAGGGGGTCAGAGGGCCTAGGTATACAAGTCACGGCTCGCCACTGCACCATTGAGACTATTTAACTGAAGACAAAGAAAAGTCTGACGTATCTTATGATCTTGACCATTAGACAGGCTGAAAGTGTGTCAAAAATATGATCAAAATCATGTTAATACCAAGTGCAATTGCTGAATTGTTGTTGTCGTTTTCTTGTGTTCTTTCTCTTAACTGTTATTACTTCTAAATTATCTGATCCCGTGTGTTACAGTCATGTAAGCACTTCCAGCGAGGTAAACAAATAAACAACATACAGTTCTTTAAGCAGTTGTTTACCCTTGCAGTGATTTTAATGGTGGCAATATCTGCTGCTTGATCAACATCTTGCACAGTGGCATTGTACGTGTCCCCGTTGGTGAGCTTCACACGGACGCCTCTCTTGTTGGCCACAACATGAGCATTGGTGACGATGAGACCGTCACTGCTGATGATGAAACCAGAGCCATTTGACACAGGGACTTCTCTTCCTGAAAATGGGTGTCTGTAAAACAGTAACAGTAGTTTATTTATTCAGCCTGGAAAGGAAATGCATTAATAAGTTAATCTGCACAGAGAGAGGAATACAAAACATTATTTTAGCAATTAAGAAACATGCAGCTTCTTCAAGATGTTGGTAAACAGGATCTACCTTAAGGTATTTATCAAGTCCTTTGATAGTGAGCTAAAATATTCGAAAAGTACGTTATTGTTTAATAATTCTCATCAATACCCATGTTGTTTTTCCTTCCATTATTGTATTGTTGCAGCTTATTATCATTGTGTTTTTAAAAAAAAACATGGTTGAACAACATGCATCACGAAGGAAAACAGTCTTTAACTCAACTCACCTGCCCACGATTTCAATGTACACTACAGCTGGATTAGACTTTTCCACCACATCTGCAATAAAGTTGTATTTATACCGGGGGGTGTCGGGTTTAAAGGGAGAGGCACAGTGAGCTGATGGCAGGATGAGTCCAAGAAACCGACCGGATAAAGACACTCTTCCGTCCACTACTTGTTCATCTGTTCGACTGTCCAGAAGAGCCACAGCGCAGAGTCCCAGCCCCACAGAGAGTGACTGCAGCAGGGGAGAGCTTCTCCTGTCCCGCTCCACACCGGGTCTCCTGTCAAGGTCCCCCTCTCTGCGGTTACATGTCATCACAGAGGACACCCGGCACACTGTCCTCTCGGCCAAAGAGTTTAATCCCCGGCTTTGACACCGAGTGTGTCTCCTTAGTGCGGAGAAGAGACACATACTGAGAGGAGTTGCTGCCATGTTGCATCACTTGAGTCACACCGGCTCAGGAGTTTTCAAACAGCGAAACAACACTGAATATATTGAAAGTAATAACAGTCCGCTTTGTTTAAATTGTTAAAGTTGCACTGCTTGTATAAATTAAAACAATACAGGACATATTCTTCCTGTGAAGTCCACTGTTCTACTGGCGAGCCAACTGACTGACAACCAGCAGCGACAGCTGAAAAATAAACAAGCTCACCCGGAAGTAGTATGACTTGAGCCGGAAATTGAAAAGTAAAAAAACAAAAAACGAATGTTAATGAACAACAATCAATCTTAAACATAAAAAAGGGTAACATTGCATAATTAGTTACATTGATCAATGGAGAAGATAGATACATTGAACCAAGTCATATACAATAAAATAAAATAACACCAATGACTTTTCTCATATTTTTCGACATACTATTACATTTTTCATTTTTGTTGACGTTGTAAACTGACTTTTTTTTCAACATACTTACTAAGACTTTGTTTTCAAATATGACTAATTTTCAAATGTCATGAAATAGTATGCTATTACTTTTGTAATATATTTTTCCACATATTAGACATTAGAATATGACCTGAATAATCTTTTTTTTCAGCTGAGACGGTACAGCATCTTTGGTTTGGGAAGGTACATTAAAAATATCTCTTATTGTGAAAGGGTGGTCATGTGCGGAGGTGACGTTTTGTTTTGGCAGTACGTCACAGGTTCTACCCAACCGCGGCGGTGATGAGATATTTGAAATTTGCGGCGAGCAAGCTAGCTGCTAGCATACGACTTGGATGATTGTTTTTTTCCCTTCACCAAACCATGGCGTCGTATCAGCATATATCAAAACACACAAATCCGAAGTTTGAATCTCCTGCCAGGGTGTTTGCTAAGCTAAAGTCTAAAGTGAGAGAAGAGAATCGGTCCGCGAATCAGTGGACTTTTCCAGGCAAGGAGCCGCTGTTTGGCATACGGGAGAAACACGGGGGAGTTTTTAAGTCGCCCAGGAAGAGATCAGAGAGCACTTGGATGACCGACCAATTTAAAGAGAATAAGAGGTCTAGTTCTTATCGTGATGAAGCGCAGGCATTTACTCTCTCTCCCATATCGAGTCCTCAGAAAGGTTTCGATGGCTGGCTTTCGGACATCAGAAGCGAGCGTGTAGAGGAAGTGCCTCTTGGAGGACATGGGTGCACACCGAGAAAGAGAGCTTTCCTGGAGTCAACAGCTCTGCCGATCAGACCACCGATCCACACTGAACCAGCTCAGATCAGAGACTCGGCTGGTTTCCATGGGTTCAGTAGGACTTCAGTAAAAAGACAACCATTGGAACATAACTTTGTAAACAGTGTGATTGGTGAGGGCTATCCTCCTGTTGACAAACGGATGCCTCCACCCTTTATGTTGTCACCCACGAGAAATAGATTGAGGAAGATAACAGGGGAGCCGCAGGAGTTTGACAAAGTCAGTAGCTGTAGAAAGGTCAGCAATGAAGGCCATCCACAACCAGAAAGGAAAACCTCCAGTCATGTGAGTGAGTATGTTGGTAATGTTAGAGGATTCTCTGCTGACCAATCAGAGATGGACCAGTTCACTCATGAACCTGAGGTATCCAACCCACAACGTTTAATAACAATGCAACGTGAGTCATCATTGTTTTGTTTTCTTCCAAGTCAAACTTCCCTACTAAGGGAAAGGAGTGTAATGTTGTCTCTTTGTTGCTTGGAACAGAGTGCTTTGTTGCTATGAAAAGATGTCCTACAATGTCTCCAGCCAAGATGTTCGCTACCATGAAGAAGAAGGAATCTAAAATAAAGCAGCAGGAAGTTCATAAAGTCAGCAATTGCACCAGGGATCTCTTTTTTCAGGGTGTGTGATATTAATACTTAAATCCTACAATGCATAACGTTTTAGCCATCATGTATAGACATAGTTGATTTTTAGATTTGTTCGGTGTCTTGTTTTGACTAGTTTTCTTCTCCATTTAAAGCTCACAACATGGGTGAGATGGAGGACAATGTTCTAAGAGATTTTCCTGAAAATGTGGTTCCTGTCAACCGGCCCAGAGAAGCGTCAGCTGACAGCCAATCAGAAACCGATCCCTCCGAGAACGTCGCCAACCCTGTTCTGTCGCCACAACCTTTTCTGCATGAAGACCCCCTTGTGCTCAATTCACCACGGGTCTCAATACCGAAGAAAGAAGCCGTGTTCAAGCGAAAAAATTGGAGGCAGCGCAAACAATTCCCATGTGTAAGTAGAAGTATTTAAAATTAATATACAGTAAATTGTAATATATATATAATGTGATGAAAGGGGTGACATTTGTGAAAATAAAAGAATCTTCTGGCAAACTTCATAAACCAAGGTTACAATGTGCAACCACATTTTAAGACAAATTCAATTAATTTAAAGTTTATTTCTTCTTTAGTTTTTTAATTTCTAATAAAGCTTGTGTTTTCTTCTTTGGCAGGAGAGTGTGATTCATCTTAAAAAGTGGTTCCTGAATAGAGATCGCAACGGTCTGTTTCTTGGTGGAACCCTTAGGTAAATGTTGTTTTAGTTTTAACACAAGTAAAACTAAACAATATAAGTTAATTAGAACACATTTTGTATAATTCTTACTAGCTACTGTACTTTGAGACAGCTATGTTCATGCTTTATATTTTGAATACATTTTTTGTGGTTTAATATAAACACTAGATTTGTTTTTACTTATGTTTTCCACCCAGGGACACCAACGTGCTCTGGAACAGTAGCATCCTTGTGGAGCGGGTTTCTAACACGGTGGTGAAGTCGGCCTCCGGCAGCGTTTACATCCTGATCGGCAAAATATACATGAACGCTGACACTGGTAAGACAGATTCTGTTCAGGTAGATATTTTTTTAATAATATGCACATAACCGTGTAACCATAACCGAACACAGTGTGGTATGATACTATTTTTGTATGTATCTGCAGAGTTTCCCAAGTGGCTTTTGAAGAAGTTCGCTATGGGGTTTCCTCCAAACTGGGAGGCACTTTATGAGAAGCTACTATCAGAGTCAAGAGAGTAAGAATATGAACTTCTGTTTTGTTCATGCTATCACAGAAAATAGATGTTATTGTGATGTTGAATCCATTAAAGGTGGGGAAGGTAAGTTTGAGAAACCGGCTCGAGATACACTTTGTTATATTCCATGGAATGCTCTTAACATCCCGATAGCAATGAATATCTGAAGTTCTTGACAAAAAATAATCTGTGGAAGCCGTAGTACTGTGTGACCAATCATCTGAGCCGGCCCGGCTAAAATAACTGGATGTCCTACCTGCCTGTCAGCCTTCCATCTGTGCACAAACTCATCTTGTGCCCTCATTGGTCATGTGCGTTCCTGTGTGTTGGAGGAGGGGCTCTGTAAAGAAGTGGCAGATTTTTCCCGGCTGTATTATCAAATTCTAGCGCACTCCAGCTGGTTTCTCCAAAATTACCTACCCCACCTTTAAGCATACAGAATTAAACTGAAAATACTTCTTGTAACTCAGTTTTGTTTTGTTTTGTTGCAGTGGCACCGACAGGAACCGTGAGAAGAGAAGCGTCTTATCGAAGACTAAACCTGATGCATCGACTATCCGTTCTGTGAAGAGGCAAAAGCAAAAGTTCTTAAAGACACGTAAGTAGAAGATACATTATTTGTTTAACATCATGGCAAATAAATGCAGATTTTTAGTCCCCAAAGTTTAGAAATCCTGAGCCATCGGTTGCGATAAATAAAATGGTCGTTGAACCTGCCTACAGATCAACATTGCCTTCTCTAGAGACACTAGCATGGCAAATAAATGTTATCGTAGTATCGTATGTGTAGAAGTGCATTTTTAACATATGTGTCTGAATACTATAGACATTGTTCTTAAATACTTAAAAAAAACGTTGTATATGTTTCTCCTTTTCTCCAGCGGATTTCTGTCCTTCTGCCCCCTTGACACAAGCTAAGGTGTCCCGAAGTGGCCGTGTGCTCAAAGCGCCTCTTGAGTATTGGAAAGGAGGGAGAGTTGTTATGGATGCCCACATGAATGTTACCATCCATGCATGTTATGAAACCAGCATCTGCTTGGTAAGCACCATAAATTGAACTCAAAGGTTACATAACAAGCCAGAATATTTGTACAAATAACTAATATTTCGGAATAATGTGACCATGTTTCATTTCTATATCTGACAGAATGATACAACAACAGTTTCTACGAAGAAGTCACAGAAACCTGCCCGCAGTGAAGGTAAAGATAACTTGGAGTTTTAGTCTACTGAGATTATTTCTGAGTAGCTTGCTGACAATCTGACTTCCATGCTTCCAGGCAGAAAACAACGTGAACCAGTCAACAACAAAGAGGCATCAGTCCCACTGAGGAGGGTCAAAGCTCCTCCCCGCAGACACACCCGAGCCAAGGTTAAGCCTGATGAGAATCTCTCTGATTCCCTTGAATACCTGCGGACGCCTGACACCACAAGCCCTTTACAGAAAGTCAGGGGACGCAAACGGATTACCCCTAAATCCCTAGAATCATCAGCTTCAGCATCTTCACAGGATGAGGTCAATGAGAGAAAGAAGATGGGGACGGTGCAAAGGAAGCGCAGCAGGAGGGTTCCTAAAAAGTTACATACAAGCGATACAAGTAATTCATCCACGTCTTCTGAGGAGGATCTTGTGAGGGCAACCAGAGGAACACGTAAAAAACAGAAGCAGAGCACATGCACTAAGTCCCCATCACCTCCAAAGCCTTCGACTAAATTCGCAAAGCAAAAGACGGCAAAAGCGCCACATCTACCAGAGCAAGACGAGTGGACAGAGGCCGAGCTTATGAAACTTCAAAAGTAAGTGTTGTCGTCCTACTGAAATGAGAAAGTCACATACTTCTGTGTCCTGATTTCACGCTCACTGGTGTGTGCTTTGTTGCGTTTTCCAGGGCTGTGTCCTACTTTCCTAAGGACATGTCAGGGTACTGGGAAAAGGTGGCGAGAATGGTTGGGACACGTTCTGCAGAAGAGTGCCACTGCCAGCACACATGGCAGGGAACCTCCCAGACTCCTGAGAAGACAGCCAGGAAACAGACGGAAGGAAAGAAGAAGAAGGAGAAAGTGAAAGCAACAGAAAATCCAGGTAGAGAACGTTCTAATGTTTGAATGGCAGCTTATCTTGCATCTTATTTCTTTTTGAAGAAGAGTTGGCATGCGGAAATGTGACAAACTATAATCTATGCCTAGTTACAGATCTTCCTTTGATATCTGCCGGATTGGGAACCTTTAAAAGGAAGCAGCAAGTGCGTGAGTTCCTGGAGGCCATGCCCAGAGAAGATGTTGAGGACGCCTTCAGCTCCGAGTACATGCAGAGGAAACGTTTTGAGGTTAGTTCCCCTTTGTTTTTTGTATTTTGCAAAATAATATTATCACGATACAATACAGAATGAGTGATAACTGTTCCCCTCGTGACTATCTTGATCCGTAGGTTCCCTCCATGTGTCAGAGTGAAGAAGACTTCAATCTGTCAGAGATGGAGCCACTGAGCCCCACTTTGACAGTTTTCCCAGAAGTAAAGACTCCTCAAGGTCTGCATATCACTCCTGGCATGATAGGCTCTCTAAACAGGTGAGTGACGTTGAATTCTTCCTCAGAATTGAGGTGTGATTGAAGTGTCTAACCTGCCTTTTTCTTACTTTTTAAGGACCAATAACGAAAAGTACATCCATAAACTCCAGAAGAGGATGAAGATTAATCAGTTTCAGGTCTGCAAACAGGCTCCTTCCTCAAAGGTACTGCTTTCTTGTAGTTCATTTATGACGTTGTTAATATCTTTTAATATTTTATTACAAAAACATTTTCAATCTTTTTTCTTTCAGACCTTCACACCGACACAATCAGTTAAACAAGCAATGAGAAGATGTGCTAACACAGGTAAGACTCGTGAGACATGTGTAGGGTATAATCAAATGGCCCTTTAGCTCATTTGAAGTTTATAGTGCTGGTATTTAATAAATACAGGTAGAGCTGTTTAACTTGATGTTCATTATGACAGCTGTGCATGTATTACACTGTGAGACTTGTAAAAGTTAAGTAAACATATTTCCAAAGCTGTAAAACAATGTTGATGGTAGTTATTTTGACACATGTACACTTGTAACACACACACACTTGTTCTCTCTTTTTTCACTAGAAAATGACTTTGTGGTTTGGGAGATGTTTCCTGAAAAAGATGCCGTGCTGTCTGAAAGCGGAGAGGAAGAGGATTTTTACTTCTCAGACAATGCATGATTGCAGCTGCGCAAATCTGATCTAGTTCCTATTACTTAAAATCAATCGAGTACATTGTCCCGTCTTACACATGTAAGAGTTGAATCATTATTGTTTTGTATTTAATTTAACCTTGAGATTTGGTGTTTAATGTGGAATAAACAACATGGGCAGTGTAACATATGTTTGTGTTGAGACAATTTGGTCATTTCTAAAGCTACAAATGATACGATTTTAATTTGCAACATTCTGTCAACACCAGACTTGTGCTGCTGTACAGTATGTACCTGTACATATATGGTTTCTCCTTGCCTCCAGATTCAGATGTATTCTGCTAATAAACATTGATAAATTCTTAGTTGTGATTTATTTCTTTCTTCATGGGAGATCTATTATCTATGAAAGTAATGCCCGACTTTTTTGGCAAAAAAAGCGGCAAATGAGAGCCACTGATTTAAAAACTAAACAATGTAATGTTACACACGACTGCAGTGCAACTTCAATTAACAACAAACATGATATACTTTCTATGTATTCATTTAATATCTTATTTTATTAAAGGAGTTTCTATGGATTATATTGACCCAGGTCAGTGAAGCGTGTGTGTATCATGTTGCACCTGATGGAGCTCCTGGTTTTCTCCCCGTCTGCTCTTGGCTTTCTGTGGCGTAAAGGAGAGATGACTTGTCTTCTTTCCATGCAACTGACCTCTGCTCTCTTACTCCAGACATAGTTTGTCGTTAAAAATTCACAACAAATGTAATGTGGTAAAAATATAAGATGTCATTAATATTTTAAGCGTAAAACTAGTGTTTTGTCCACCTTTTATTTTTATTAAAAATAAAGTTTTTCCTTGTACGATGTGAGGGTCTAAGGACAGAGGGTGTCGTATTGTCATACTGATATTTTGTACAAACTGTAAAGTCCACTGAGACAAATGTAACATTTGTGATATTGGGCTATATAAATAAACATTGATTGATTGATTGATTAATTATAGTGATGCGAATACAATACTTTAAAAAAATGTTTTCATGTTGTATCTTGACTACAAAAAAGTGGTTTGTCCTACTCCTCCAGCAATCAATTGCCGCCTTGATTAGGAATCATTGGGTCACAAGACATTGAACGTATTGTAAATAAATTCTAAATGTTTGATTAATAAAATGCTACATTTGTATAACAATATTCATATGAAATAGACAAACACAGAAATGCAATTCTCCATTGAATTGGACACAAAGTTACATGATCTGGAAGCTATTGAAAGACATTGAGAATGTTCCCAATGAAATTGGTTGAATGTTGTAAAGTTACCATAATGCACCAGCTAAAAATAAGTGATTGAGATTACTAATAACCCTCTGTTTAATTGTTGACAAATCATTTCAGAAGATGTTGACATCTTTCAGAAAATGTAATTAATTCAGAAAATGAATGCTGAAGTATGAAGCTATATCAGGGTCATAAGTTTTGATCATTTTTTGGAGCCCTTTAAAAAAACAACGTTATTCTAATAATTAATTATCGTCATTTTCTTTATCCCTTTTTTGTTTGATTTACTATATATTTTTTATTGTTATTACATTTATTATATTTTTAACTGTATTCTATTTTGTTTTGTATACATTCCTAAACTTTAAAAAAAGAAAGGCAAGATCACGTGAAAGCATGTCACGTGACTGCTGCATCTAGAACAGGCTGCTCAGCAGACACAACAGATGAGTGTACACAACTAACCGAGGACAGGATGAACACACTGTGAGTGCTTTGTAAATGTTCATAGTTGTGTATTTTAATTAAAGCTAACAGGGAGATAAAGGGTCCAGAAAGCGCTCACTCGGTTTACCGTGAACTGTGATTCCGCATCTGATATTTTTGGTTTTACCGGTTGATCTGACCTAGATAGCTGCCAGCTAACATAGCGGGTTAACATCTTCACATAATTTTGAGGTTACTATAAATAACAACGTTTCTTTTTGTTCTCAATATAGTTAGAAACTCGTTTCACAAGCGTATATCTGCCTTTTCATAAATGCGTTAAATGTGACCTACAAACTAAGCCGAGTCACATTGAGACTTTGTTTTGTTGTACCCGCAAGTACCTTACTTCCGTATGTCCCTGCTATATGTAGGTGTCTTTAAAAACTCTGCATGTGTAGTACATTGTATTCTAAAATGTTTTGTTTCTCCTTCCACCAGGCTGACCTTCTCCCTCCCCTTGTTGTTCAGCTCGTTGGTCTGGAGTGGCTATCTGGAATATGACCAAGATGTCTTGTGAGCAAATCCCCTTTAAGAGCCATTTCCCTATCTATCTGTAAATTATTAAATCTAGTTCGTATTTCACCTTGTTTAAACACTCTTTCTAAAATGTGAGAGTCTAGCCTAATTAAAACATTTTCATAGATACAGACCAGTTTTGACAGCCCAATTTTGCAGCAAATACTTGTATAAAAGGGGAAGTTTTAACAATATTCTTTGATAAGGATTATGGATGTTAGAGGTTCGAGTCTGGACAACTTTTGTGGGAATTGCTATATAATTGATGTGCCTAGTTTGGGAATTTTAGTATGTGTGGCTCCATATTCAGTTCAAAAATCAGGTATATATTGTACCATGCTTTGGACTTTTTAAAAACTATTGTAAAGATCTCATGAATAGTATAAATGAATCAACTCGTGGTTGGTAAAAAATGGCCAAATGATTGTTGTGTTTCCAAATGTTGTCATCAATACACTTAACAGACAACAGCTTTGTTAGCAGCTATTTATTTAGTTTCACACTATCAGGTAAAGTGAAGCCATATTTATTTAGTAAAAACCTTCCTCAGGATACCAGACGACTGGAACCATGGGGGTCGGGTGGATCCCACAGACCAGCTGGAGCTGACCTTTGCCTTAAAGCAGCAAAACTCTGACCTGCTGGAGTCAATACTCGGACTGGTGTCGGACCCTGACTCAGGACTATATGGTAGGGGTCTGCCTGTCTGATACTTGCCAGTAGTCTTCAAGGACTAACTAGGACCTAGAATAACCTCCGACTGTCATACTGAACATGGAGTGACAGAGGCCTGTTTTGTCCTCCACAGGTAAATACCTCACCCTGGATGAAGTGTCCTCCCTGGTAAATCCCTCTAAACTGACCCAGAAGGTGGTGCATCACTGGCTGCAGAGTCATGGGATTACAAACTGCCTGACTGTACATACTCAGGACTTTCTACAGTGCAGCATGACTGCAGCGTAAGCATGACCTTTTTTAGCAACATTTCGTTCTGCTTACACAACGATATTTTCTACTTGCTCTTGACACAGTTAAGACGCATAAAGTGTCCTGCTCAAGTTCCCCCTTTGTGCAAAGGCCATGCTCATTTCTCGTGCTACTGTTCCTCTTTCTGTGGTTATTGCTTAAAATCAAACTCACTGTTAGCTTCGAGATTTTGAAATCATGGACCATGGTTATTAAATGTTTAGAAAAGGACCACAAAAAAAAAACGTATCCATGTTTTACTTACTGGTTAATCAACATAAAGTGATATCAGTTTTGCCATTGACTTACTTAAAAAACCTATCCATGTTTTATTAACTGGTTAATCAGCATAAAGTTATATACATTGAGTTACTTGAAAAAAAAACAGGAAATGCATACCTTTGTCTAGAATTTGGTGGATTTGAATACTTTTAGCCTGTTGTTGTTGTTGTGTTTATTCAGGGTTGCAGAGAAGCTGCTACCAGGTAGCAACTTCCACCGTTACACCAGGGACGGCCACTCCGTGGTCAGGTCTTCAGCTCCGTACTCTGTCCATGATGATGTTCACGAGCACCTGGACTTTGGTGAGAACCATTTACATTTTTAAAGGTTCTGGGATTGCTAAATATATTGACATGGGAACTGCACTTACATTTGTTTTGCTTGTTTCCACAGTTGGAGGGCTTCACCGCCTCCCTCCTAAAGGGCAGGACCTCAGCCAAGCCTCGTCTCACAGAGAGATGAAGCAGTCTGAGGCAGCGGTGCACCTGGGGGTGACTCCCGCCATCTTGAGGGCCCGCTATAACCTCACAGCAGCCGATGTGGGAACAGCTCAGAACAACAGCCAGGCTGTAGCTCAGGTGTGAATAAGTTTAGAAATCTAAATATGTGTGTTGTGTTGCTGTTACAGTAGCTCAGACACTATAATCTCACCACAACTTGGTGTACTTTCTCACTTTAGCTAGCTGTTCTGTCTTTTAGTTCCTGGAGCAGTACTACAGCCCTGCAGACCTGGCGGAGTTCATGGGGATGTACGGCAGGAGCTTCCAGCATCTCTCTCAGGTGGACCGGGTGGTTGGCACTCAGGGAAAAGGAAAGGCTGGGATTGAGGCCAGTCTGGATGTAGAGTACATCATGAGCACAGGGGCTAACATCTCCACATGGGTCTTCACCAATCCAGGTCTGTAGTGTGGTGAACTGAACGGAGAACTTACAATTCTAAGGTTATATTGACTTTCAGTTGACATTGATTTTAAATCGACAGGTCGGCACGAGTCCCAGGAGCCTTTCCTCCAGTGGATGTTTTTGCTCAGCAACATGTCTGACCTGCCCTGGGTTCACACAATCAGCTACGGAGACGATGAAGACAGCCTGTCTACTGCGTACATGATGCGCATCAACACAGAGTTTATGAAGGCTGGCGTCAGGGGAGTCTCTCTGCTCTTTGCTTCTGGTCAGTAAGGAGGAAGTGTGAAAACAACTTCCAAATGCAAACGGAGACACTAAACTAAATCAACAAACATTTACATTCATACTATGTCAGCAAAACATTTCTGATAGAGAGCCAACTTGTCTGAGGACAGTTCAGCCTGTTATCTTTTTAACATGTGACTCCAAAAGTCACATTTTTGTCTTCTTTTATATGCATTGACTGAGACCTCTATTGTTTGTGGTTGAGTTTCTAAATCATCTTGTTTGGTCTTCATATCAAATTATTTTAGCTTTTTTGGGCTCACTTGAAACATGAATACAGCTTTTATTGTTTTAAATAAACACCGATGACATGTTGGCTCCAGGAAACAGGAAAACAGGTTTACTTTTTGCTCATAGCTTTTTCCACATTTTACAACAAAGCTGTAAATGCTGCCAGATCTCAGAAAGACATGCGTCATGATACTTGCATCACTTTTACACTCACTGATCTTATTTAACACGCTTACCTTCCACAATCTTTATCGTGTCGATCTTGTTTTTATGTTCAGGGGACAGTGGTGCAGGCTGCAGACATTTGGGTAAAGAGAACTCCTTCAGGCCAAGCTTTCCTGCATCAAGGTAAAACACTTTATTAGTGTTGTAGGACTCTACAAAGACATAAAGATTTTCCATTTGAAT